CTTCGGTGCCTTGTCGCCTCCGCCTTGTCTGCAGCCGTCGTTGACGCAACCGAGCCCCCCCGCGCCCGCTGCGATGCCGCCCCCGCTCCGTCGCCACAGCAAGACCGTGCGTCTCCCCCTCGTGGCAGTCGCGGCTTCAACCTCGGCTTCGACCTTCCGCTTCCTGTGCTTGCGAAACTCGTCTACCCAATCCTACATGGCTGGCTGGTGCGCCTTCCGCTTCCCGGCAGCCGCCGCGAAGCTCAGCTGGGCTGCTGCCCTGGCTTTTATGATGAACTCCACCTTCCACCGCTCCAGCTCCTCGATGTCTGCTGGGCTGACGTTCTCGATGTCCTCGAGGTTGAAGAGCTCGCCAATGTCCGTCCCCTGACCGCGTCGACGGGCAAGGCCCCGATGGGCAGGCAGCAGAAGTCGATCGTGTCCTCGCTTTGGCTGCCGAGAACAAAGTGGATGCTGCCGCAGCTGTGCTTTGACTCGATATTTTTTGCGCCCGCAGCATCCTGGGGGTGGTCCAAGTCGTCCTTCTCGGCCTGGTCCACGTCTGCTCGTAAGCGTTCACGACGTCGATACGATTTCTGCTAAAATCCTTGCGCGCGCTGCGCTGAATCCTCGGCCTGACGAAAAGATGTGCGGGACCCTCGACCAGGGTCCGGAACCACGCTGTTCAACAGTTCCTCGATATTCGTCCTGTCGTCTCCGTGCGGCTGCTTCGCAACCGTCGTGAGGTATTGGTATTGGACCATGATGAGCTGATGCTGGCCTCCGCGCCCAAGGTCGACTTCAGAAAAACTTGGCCAATCACCTGCTGCCACAGGCGGCTCCGGCCCACACCCAGTGCCTCCGTATAAGCACCTGGCTCCGCACTCTGAGAGCCTGTCACCCCAAGACCACTTGACGCACATGGAATACTGACAAAACGCCTTGACACTGCTCTGGCCGTTGCTGCCGCCACTGCGTCCGTTCCTCCAGCTGGGCGAAGGTGAATGCCTCGGGCTGTCGGAATACCACGGTGAATGCTGGAACCACGGCTGCCTCCGCCATCCGCTGCACCAATTGCCGCCGCCACCAGCAGGAGGAGGAGACATCGCAACGCTGCTATGTCATGCGGGAAACTCACTGAAGATCTGAACTGATTGGGAAGTTTGGTGCTCGTCGTCAGAGCGTTCCCACCGCTCTTTACGCCCAGGGGACTCGGAGACTCTGGAAACCTCATCGGCCCCTTGAGCCAAATTCGCAACGGATGATGATGGTGATAATGGTGATGATGATGGTGATGACGATGACGACGATGATGATGACGCTGATGATGATGATGATGATGCTGATGATGATGATGATGATGATGATGATGATGATGATGATGATGATGATGATGATGACGATGATGACGATGATGACGATGATGACGGTAATGACGATGACGATGATGATGATGCTGCTGATGATGATGACGGGGACGTGGTTCAGAACATCATCCCTTCCAAAACCATTCCCAACCCTCCCAGAATTACCCCCCATTGAGTCGGGACGCAGCCGCACACACCCCCGCCCCGCGAGCGGTCATAGCTTTCAAGATGACTCGAAACTTTCCCAAACAGTATCCAACCTGGTATGTCAGATCGCGCGAGCCGATCTAACCTGGCTCAACACATCCTTTTAGCATGCCTCCGAAAGCCGCAACGGCCGCGTCAAGACGTCCCGAGATGACCACGGAGCCTTCCACGAGAAGCCAGCATCGATATCAAACCTGACGGTATGTTACACGAAGTTTGAGGTTGCGCTGTTGCTCATCCAATTGTGCTCCGAGACCTCGAGATGGCCCCAATATGGCCCTCAGAGGGGTCCCAGAAGGGCCCAGGAGGGCTCAAAGAGGAAGGATCCAGAGGCCACAGGACACCCTAACAAAGCCCCACGAGGGCTGCAAGAGACGAATATGTGAGATACATGGGACGGGACATCACTGTGCGCCCCCCCCCTTTTGCTCACAAGAGCGCCTGGACGGAAAGAGACTCGAGGAGGAGGAGGAGGAGGAGGAGGAGGAGGAGGAGGAGGAGGAGGAGGGGGAGGAGGAGGAGGGGGAAGAAGAGGAAGAAGAGAAAGCCCCTGGAAGGCCCCCCTCCAGGTCTCTCAGACGACCCTCGCTGGAGGCCCCAACGAGGCTCCCAAGGCGCGTACAGCGGAGGCCAGTCCACAAGAATGAAGGGGCCCTGGGACACACAAATAAATACACACAAATAACAAGATTCCCAATATGTTTCCATATGTTCTGGGTTTGTTGTTTTCCCCCCCACTTCCCATAGTTTCCGATATTTTCTGGGGAATCGACGATTCATTGTGTCTGTGTGTGTTCTTTCCCTCCTGAAAGAAACCTTCCACGAGAAATCCAACCCTGAGACCACAGGACGTCCACTGACTTTCGGTGCGGGAACGCCACGCCCTCCGCAGAAAAGACCATCGAAACGCAAGAAGCCCAGGGCGCCCTGGAGGCAAGCAGGGTGTTTCTTGGCATGGGCCTCCACTGTACAGGAAACTTTCAGGTGCCCCCCCCCCCCCCCCAGAGGCACCGAAGACAATCCGTCCCAATCGGCCTCCCCCTTCGCCCCGCGGCCACCACCCGGGCACCGTGGCGGAACTGGGGGGCGAAGGCCACCAGGTGGAGAAGGAGGAGGAGGAGGAGGAGGAGGAGGAGGAGGAGCGAGGAGGAGCGAGGAGGAGCGAGAAGGAGGAGGAGGAGGAGGAGGAGGAGGAGGAGGAGGAGGGGGGGAGCGAGAAGGAGGAGGAGGAAGAGGAGGAGGAGGAGGAGGAGGAGGAGGAGGGGGAGCGAGAAGGAGAAGGAGGAAGAGGAGGAGGAATAGGACGAGGAGGAGGAGGACGAGGAAGAGCGAGGAGGAGCGAGGAGGAGGAAGAGGAGGTAGGCCCATAGAATCGGCCGGAACTGGCACGACCACTCACGAGCGGACCGAGACGAAAGGGGGGGGCAATGCCAGAGCAGGCCAGGCCTGCGAAATGCATGGCTCGCATGGGACCCCGAGGTCGGCCCCCCCGATCCCGCGGGCGCGTGGCCTTTCAGGGAGCTCGCAGCGCGAAGGGCAGGAGCAGGAGGGGGGGGCGGAGCACGAGGGAACGGCTGCGGGAGTCCGCCGGCTCTCGCTTGCCAGGATGTCAGGAAGGCGTGCGGGATGACCGTCTGCCCCCTGCCCCTGCCCGGGGGGCCCAAGGTGCAGTTGAAGGGGGGGCGAACGCGCGAGGCGCTCGGCTGCATCACCCGGGCCCTCCGAACCTCCAGGTCAGCCTCGGACACCACCTACACCCCCGACATGGCTGCCTTCCAAGAACGCGCTCCCGAAAAGGCGCCTGCGCGGCCAGGAGGCCAATGACGGCTCCAGAACGCCACCGAGCCTCCCGAGGATGCCTCAAAGAGCGACCTTCGAATAATGTCATGAGTTCCAATGGCGTTTGCATTCTTGCCTATTCGCATGCGATAAGCTTGCCAAGACTGTGCCAAGAGACCTCCAAGAACATTGCAAGAAGGAACTAAAAACTCATTCGGACTCCAACCGGGGGCCCTAAATCACTCATTCTGGATCGATGGCCTCTAATATGGCTCCAGGAGGGCTACCACGGCCAACAAGAAGACCCCACAGTGCCCGAAGAAAACCTCAAAGGCTCAAGAATGCCCCACGAGACATCCGAGATGACTCCAAGAGAGCTCCAAGAGGCACCAATGAGTCCCAACTAAGCTCAGCGTCGCTAGCCTTTGGTGTTGCACTGGGCTGCTGGGGATACGGGGCGTGAATGCCCGCCCATCCTCCCGTCGAGGCCTGGCAGAGCGGAATGTTCAAGCCTCGTGAACAATACACATCGGTCGGAAGAAGTAGGTAGAAACAGTAAGTAGGAAGGCGACTAGAGTAGATTGGGTTCGGGCCCTCCCAGAGAGTAACAACACGCAGCATAAGCATACCGATTCTTGAAGTAGGCAGGCGCTGAAAGTAGATTGGTTTCTGGGAGTCTGAAAATACCAGCTTTCAACGACCGATGGGCACTCAGGTAGATAACGCCTGCGATAGCCGGGGAGCGAGGCGCAGTGAAGGGCGCGAGAGCGAGCCGGGGGAGAAGGAGGACCAGACACAGCTGGGGAAGCTGCCGTAGGGGCCTCTGGCGGAGCGGCATGCTCAGGCCTCGTGAGCAATGCGGCGGCGGGCGAGAGGGGGAAGCGGGGAGGAGAAGGCCTCCTCAGAAGGCGGCGGGACTTCTCAGAAGCCCTCGCGCCTTCTGAGAGGTGTGTTGCGTATTCGGGGAAGGCTTAGAAAACTTCTCGGAAGGCCCGGGGACTTCCGAGCCGTCTGAGAAGGCCCGCCCCTGCTCACTTCCCCCCCTCGCTCGCCGCCTAGCAATACAGGTGGATCAAGCCTGTGACAGTTGAAGGGAGCGAATCTCAATGAAGGGCGCGGAAGCGAACAGGTTTGGTGGCAACTCATAGGAACCTCCCGTACCATTGTGTCGGATCTTGCGAACCGACGCTAGTCGGCGCCAATCGACGCTAAATCGACGCTAAATCGACGCTGATCGACGCTAACCGACGCTAAGTCGGCGCTATTTCCTATCTCATCGACTCCCAGACGCTAAAGACGCGAATCGATGCTAGAGACGAATTCGAGAGGGTATACCAGGCTCCCATGACTAAATTGCTACCGAAAACAAGGGGAGGAGAAGGACCAACCAAACACAGCTGGGGGCAGCTGTGATCCTTACCCCCCGGGGGGGGCCCATCGTGACGACGACCTCCCCGAGGGAGATGTATCAAAGTCGTTGGGTACCCCAGATGGGGGTAAGAAGACCGCAACTCCCCCAAATGTGTTATGTTGCATTCTCGGGGGGGGCTTGTCTGTCCCGTCGCGCCCCTATGCGCGTCGAATCCGTGTAAAATCCATGCCGCACTCGTCGAATCAGCGTCGAGTCCGCATCGAACCAGCGCTGGGCACAAGAGAAGACACTGATTTCGGGAACAGACGAGGTCCCCCGAACATGCGACGTAACATATGTGTCTGGTCGGAAGGAAGATGACTCTACTCCTGGTGGCAAGCACACATCGACTTGGTGGTGGTCGAGCGCGCAAACCCACAACCGGCGCCCGCGAGCCAACCTCGTCAGGCGGCGGCATGCCTTGGCCGTTCGGGCCGCGATCAAGCATCGCAAAGGAGCGCGGAAGACTCACCGCCTGGCGCGCTCTCCTACATCTAGCAACTCAACTCACCAGGTCTCTGGTGTTGCACTGTGGCCTTGAGGCGACAGGATTCAAGCACAAAGACCTTGGACCCGCAAGCAGTAACCGCCTGGCGTTCGCCGGTGGCGAGACTCTAATACCGCTTGCCGGTCCAGTCGGTCCATTCGAGCCTATGAGTGTCCCAAATCTGGGGCAGGCTGTAACAGGACTCAGCCGAAGCAAACTCAGAAGCCAAACTGCACTAAAAAACTTCCTGGTGGTGTCGCGGCCGAAGAGAGCACGGCGCCATCCAAGCCGCTTAAGTGGCTTGCTCCCTCTGCGCCAAGCGGGCCAAGTTTCAGGGACGTGCAATAATCGGAAAACAAAGAGAAAGACAAGGACGATGATGAACTACCAGACGCCGACGAGAAGGCAAAAACGGCAGAACGGGACGGGACACTTGGGATGGAGACGGCCTCTGCGCTCACATGCAGCGGCCCCTTGCTGCAGAGAACGCGGTTCTCGTCGTCATTCGCAAACCCTTTATGGTTCCAGAACTCTTGCCAAACTCGCGGCACTCTCGGGCGGGCTGCGGAAACGGAATGCGCACGCCATCCTTCAATATGATCGGCTTGTATGCATCGGGTACTGATGGGCTCATGACGTTACTGTCCTTGTAACGGAGGATGTTGGAGTGTAATGTCTGTGTTTCGCTCCAGCAAACCTGGCACTCCTTCCTGCAAGCCTCACACTGCCAGTCGCAGAAACCGCCGAACGTCTCGAAGAAAGGTTCCACGTGACTTGGGCTGGTCAGGTTCACAAAACAGTAGCCGCGGGTGTGAGTGGTCTCGAAATCGATCGGGACGTAAACAAAGTCGTACTTTTTCGCGAAGCCCTTCGAGTCCAGCAGCGCAAGCAACTTCTCGCGCGTCCACATGTAAGGCACGTTCCGCATCATCACGGTTGTGCGCGTCACTGGCGCGTTGCAAGCGTCGTTTTTCGGCCGCACTTTCAATGGCCACTCGCCGTCGCGACCGACCGCCCAGGTGCAAGGGCTCCGCTGCAACAACGTCTCGGCCGCGGTCACGCCTGCGGCGACGAACGGCCTCGCCTTTGCGCTGAGGCTCGTGCGGGTGCAACCGACAGCCCGATCGGAAGCTGCTGGCGCCTTGAGCGGCAGCGTGTACGGCACCTGGAAGAGCAGCCCCAGCGGCGTGCAGGCAGCCGCCGGCGAGAGCCCGCGCGACCCGGCCGGGGAGGCCCCGCCCTCGTCGAGCAGGGCCAGGCTGGCCGAGAGGACGTCCTCGCTCGAGGCCGTGGACGAGTCGTCGGAGAGCGGGGCCGGGGCGTCGAGCTCCAGCATGTCCGCCCACGCGAGGGCGGGGCAGCCGGTGCGGCACGCCACCGCGGGCCCCCGGGACAGCACGGGCGCCGACTGCGCGCGCCGGAGGCCGCCGCCGACCTGCGCGCCGAGCCCCGCGCCGTGGCCCGGCGTCGAGAACGGGCGCTCGTCGACGGAGAAAGCACTGGCGATCGCCGACGCCATTTGCGGTGCGGAGTCCGAAGACGGTCGGCGGAGGCCCGGCTTCGCAGCCGAACTTGAGTTCTGGTTCTGGGACAGTCGGGGCCCTGACCTAAGAGCCCTAAATAAAGGAACGAGGCACCTTTTTTCCCTAAGTCAAACTTCGATGTCCTATCGAAAACATAAGGCAAACCTGAGGCAAGCTGTGAAACACTTAAGGAACGCGGAGCCCCTCCCCAACCAAAAGGGTTCCTTCTTCAGGGCCCCGACTGTATGGGCTGAGGCGGCAAGTGGACTGGAACCTCGCGCGCCCTCAAGAGAACGTATAACAAGCAGATTGTATGGTATCAGTCGACCCTGAGCCAAAAAATGGCTAGAGAGGCTGGTGAAGGAAGAGAGGGAGCCACTCGAACGACCACATTTCTTCAAGTCGGGACTCGTGGGCACCCAGACGGTCATAGTCAGACTGGCCAGGCGGCGCACAAATCGAACATCGACGAGGCCAGGCCGTCTTGCCCAACAACATCACACGTTCGCCATCGAGCGCGCCCGAGAGCGGCACTGGAACACAACGAGCGAGGCCACTGGCTGCGCAGAGGTGAGGGATGCACTTAAAACAGGGCTAGGATCGGGATAAATCGCTCCAGAGCGTTCCGGAGAGCTCTCAGAGCGTTCCGGAACGCTCTGGAGCGGCCGCGGCGCCCAATACATCCTCCAAACCCGCCGATTCTCAGAGATTTCGAGTTATCCCGATCCGATTTTGTCCCGATCTTCGCGTCGTTTTAGCACAGGCCCCTGGGTCGCCTCACGTCCGCGCGCCGCGCCATCACAGCGCGGGATGCGCCGCTGAAGAGGCGCGCCCCCACGCCGCCGCCGTGGAGAAGGACACCCCAGCGGCCCCGGCCGCCGCGAGCCAGGCGCGGTCACCACCAAGAACTGGTCTCCTCCCCCTCTTCCTCCCCCCCCTCTTCCTCTTTCTCTTCCTCCTCCTCTTCCTCCTCTTTCTCCTCTTTCTCCTCTTTCTCCTCTTTCTCCTCTTTCTCCTCTTTCTCCTCCTCCTCCTCCTCCTCCTCCTCCTCCTCCTCCTCCTCCTCCCCCTCCTCCCCCTCCTCCTCCGGTGACCTGGCCGGTCGCTGGATGGGCTGGTGGGGACACGCGATTCGATCCTAATGAACGACTGGCTTCTCCATGGCAACATCCATATGCTTCGGAGCGTCGGTGCCGAGCATGTCAGCTAGCTGGCGCGCGTGCCTCTCGCATCATGAGCCAAGTGGCAAGAGGTCGTGAAGCAGATCCGCAACCCCAATCGAGAGGGGTGAAAGTCGATGCTGCACTATGCAGCGCCGTGCCGCCCAGGACAGTGAATCCCACCAGCCCTTCAGGGCGCGAGTGGTTTCGAGCGTTTCCTCTTCAACCCCCTTTCTTCCCCTTCGGGGAGGGGTTTACCAGTGTTCCCTGTTAGCCCTAAAAGGTTTTAGACCCCCCCATAAGGTGTAATTGATCATTTGTTTCGGCGGTCTTATCCATGAGGTGGTGTTCCACAACTGGAGAGAAACATGCTTCCCGCGGCGCCATCTGGCAGCGCGCTCATGGAACATGTCGGTTCAGAGGCTTGGCGCTGAGAAGCTTAATCCCGAAAGCTTCATCATGAGAAGGACAGTTGAAGCTCAGGCCTAAAGCGGGCCCCACACAATCTACATGTACAGCTTCGTCGTCGGCGACGCGGGCGCCAACGACGAAACCATACGTGCAGTTTGTAGATGCGCTGGCCTGCGCTGCAGCTTCCCTGCATGCAAAGAAACATCACGCGACTGACTCTGCTGACCGGCCTCGGCGACGAATGCGATCTATGTTGCAACTCCCTTGCACATGTATGCTACTGATTGTGAGAGCCGACCTCGGCGACGAACGCCGTCTAGATTGCAATCCTTTTTTACAGATGTGCCCAGAATTCCTCCGTCGCGCAGGTTAGCCCAAGGAGCATTATTCGCCGAGAGAAAAAAACATGATCCAGCACGCCGGACAAGAATGGGAAACGAATTGGCGGGCAGCGTCGCGGGCGCCGACGATGAAGACGCGCGTGTTTGTTGCATATATATATATATATATATAGGTCAGCGCACGGTGCATTCCCGGTACATAAACGACGATATGACAGAGGGGATGGCGAGCAACGACTTTGGTAAAGAAGGCGTCGATCTAGTTTGCAATCCTCTCCCCCTCCTTCTCCTCCTCCTCGTCTTTACCACCAAATGGAATAACATCCAACATGGCTAAAAAAACGTGGGAAACTGACCGGCGGGCCGCGTCGCGGGCGCTGAAGCTGGAGATGCGCATGCAGTATATATATATATATATATACACACGTTCACGCCCACACGGCGCCATCTCCTTTCAAACGCGACGGGGTGAAGGAGGTGATGGCGAACGGCGCCCTGCATAACGAATGTGTCGATGTGAATAGCAGTCCTGTGACAAACGTGGTCAAACATCCTCTGTCGCGCAGGGCAACCCAGAGTGCATTATTCGTAGGGGAAGGAAAACCTCCCGCAAGTATCCTGCTCGCTCACCAATACATGGAAAACGACACCAGAGGAAGCCCCAATCAGTAGATTTGGGATTGTTTCGAGGTGCCTCAATCGGCCTTCCCCCTTAATCAAATCCAAATATACGTCCTAGTCCAGTTAAGTTGTTGTATGTCCTCTCTTTGTTTTTTTTTTTTTCTCTCTCTCTCTCTCTCTCTTCTTGTGAGTGCCTCTCTCTCTCTCTCTCTCTCCAATGTTTCTCTTTATAGATTGTGTGTTCGCTCTCTGTCGCTCTTTCTCTCCCTCTTCCTCCTTCTGTCCCTCAATATGTATATATATATACATACATACACATACCTGTATTATGCCCACCATCTTCCGGTGCACATGTCTATGTATATACACATTCACGTGTACCTACACGGACTTGTTCGTTATGTTTCTCTCTCTCTCTCTCTCATGTTACCCCACCTCTCTTACTCGTTTTTACCATAACTGGTTGGTTCATTCTCTCTTTGTCTGTTTCTCTCTCTCCCTTTCCCTCTCTCTGCATATGGATGTTGGGGGTGAAATCACAATGAAGCGGAAACCCCACCACCAGGATGTTGGTTTCGGATTCACGTTCGTGTCGCGCGCGCTGGCGAGGCGAAACTGCGTTGGCGGGCGCGAGGAATGAACTCACCGTTGCCAAGGCGAACACGAACCAACCGTTGCTGTCCCCTGGGTTGGCCAGCTGTGGCCCTGTGGTGTCCCGATTGTGATTTGTTGGTGTCCCGAAAATGGCCCATTGGTGTCACGTGGTGTCCCGTGGTGGTTCGTGGCACGCGGGTGTCCCGTGTTATGTTATATGCTACGACATGTCATGCTAGCGAAACTGATACTGAGATTCATTGGAAAAAAATCGAAATTGAGATCGGCCGTGAGTTCGGTTGTGGAATCGATAGTGAAGTTTGTGGCGCGTTCGCTTGGGAGACATCGAAAATATCGATACAAAAATCGATGATGAGATCACTCGTGAAACGGGTCGTGATGTCGATTGAATGGGATTGGTGGTGAAATAAATGGGGTTGTCGATCGTGTTCAATGGTGGTATCGATGGCGAAATCGTTAGAGTTAGACCGATCGTGCAATCGGTAGAGAGATTGATACTGATACCTATACGACCACCCTTCGGGTGCTAAGGAGGTTCGGGGGGGGGGGGGGGGGGGGGGGGGGCAAACGTCTCACTCGATCGGTCTCACTATCGATCTCACTATCGATCGCACGATCGGTCTCGCTCGATCGGTCTCACAATCGATCTCACTCGATCTATTTCATTCGATCGATATCACAATCGATCTGATGATCGATCTTACCATCGACCTCAAGATCGATCTCACGATCGATCTCACAATCGATCTCACATTCGGTGACACTATCGATCTTTCTATCGATATCACAATCGATCTCGCAATCAACGTCATCATCGCCACCATCAACATCATCGTCATCAACGTCACCCACATCATCAGCATCGTCATCATCATCGCGACACCATTGTCATCATCACCTCATCACCATCATCATTAACATCATCATCATCATCGGGACACCATCATCGTTACCATCATTATCAAGAACATCATCATCATCGGGACACCATCATCATGATCATGAACATCGGAACACAACAATCATCATCATCATCACCTCATCATCATCATCCTGAGCACCAGCGTCGGCATCATCATCATCATGGGGACACCGTAGTCATGATTATCAGCAACGTCATCCTCATCAACATCACCACCATCATCATCGGGGCACCATCATGATCGTCACCATCATCATCGTCACCATCCTCATTATCATCGGGACACCATCATCATCAGCAACAACATCATCATCATCATCATCATCATCATCATCATCATCATCATCATCATCATCATCATCATCATCATTTTCATCATCATCATCATCATCACCATCGGGCCACCATCATACAAATCTTCATCATCACCTCATCATCATTCTTAGCATCAACATCATTATCATCGGGACACCGTCACCGTCATCATCATCAGCATCAACATCATCATCGGGACACCATCATCATCATCATCATCATCAACCGCATCAGCATCAACCTCATCATCACCATCATCATCGGGACACCATCATTATCATCTTCATCATCATCAGCAGCATAATCATCTCATCATTATCAACATCATCTGGAACATTAGCATAATCATCATCATCGGGATGCGATCATCATCATCAACACCATCAGCATCATCATCATTATCGGGACACCATCATCATCACCACCATGGCCATCATCATCACCATCATCATCATCATCATCATCAACATCGTCAACATCATCATCATCATCATCATCATCATCATCATCATCATCATCATCATCATCAGCATCATCATCATCATCATCTATCAACATCATCGGGACACCATCATCATCACCACCATCACCTCACCATCATCATCATCATCAACATCATCGACATCACCATCATCACCATCATCGGGACACCGACGGGACACCGGCGGGACACCGCGCGCCACCAGACGCTGGAAGGGAGACACTTGGTCCGGCCGCGCCTCAGCCTCACCCGGGACACCTGCGGGACACCGCGCGCCACCGGACGCCGGAAGGGAGACATTTGGTTTGGCCGCGGCTCAACCACAGGAGACTTTCCTCTCGCGGGACACCGGCGGGACACCGCAGGCCACGGGCCCCCAGAAAGACATCATTTGGTCCGGCCGAGCCTCAGCCGGAGGAGACTTTCTTCTCGCCCGCCCACGCAGCTTCGCCTCGCCCGCACGCACAGCACGCACGAACACGAAACCGAAACCGACTTCCCGGTCGGGGGGCTCTCCGTTCCACTTCGATCTCACCCCCTCACCTCCGATCGATGATGAGACCGATACTGACAAAGACGATGGCATCGATAGTGAAACCGACGATGAGAGCGATCTTGAGATCGATCGCGATATCGCTCGTGAAATCGATCGTGGGATCGATGGTGAGGTCGACGGTGATATGAATAGTGCGGTC